TTTGGATCAATTTACTGGTCTTTTTTATCAAATTGATTTATGGATTTTGATCATCAAGGCTTCATTTGTCATATAAAATCGGTATGTTGATTTATAATTGAGTAAATTTTTTTATACAAATTTATTTCTTGCTTGATGTCGTGAAAATTTCATAGGTCTAAATTTATGCAATTTTTTAAATTAAATTAAAAATACCAAGATGGTAGCCTTTACAAATATTTTGTATTGATTTGTTCGATTTTCCGAACATTGAGTGTCTTTTTTGCCTGAAATTAGGGGTTTTTGCTAGATATTAGGGGTTTTTGAGAACCGATTTTTCAAAAAAAAGTAATTTTACTTAATATTATTAAGTTAATAAAATTATTTTTTATGATGAATATGGGAAGTGTTTTTCTATTTTACTTACTAAAATTATATTTTTTTGATAAAATTATGTTTTTATGATAAAATATGTTTTTTGATAAATATGACAAAAATATTGATTCTTCTTTTTTAAATGTTATATTTTTTTTCTAACAAACAAATAAATAAGTGCATGATAATCTCGTTCTTACTTTTGCTTCATTTTTTTTTTTGTTCAATTTTTTTTTTTTTTTTAAGTGCATGATATAATTATACTTGTAATAATGGAAATGGGATTGTAATTATAGTTAGTGTGATAATGGAATTGGGATTGTAATTGTGTAATGTAAATGGGTTTATAATTGTGTTGACAGAGGCATTCACAATTTCAAACTTTTTTAGTATCAAAAAAATTGATCTTGCATTTAAATAACTGTCTTGGATTCTGATATTTACTTAGGATCAGTAATACTCAGTTCCTTCTTACCATTTTCTTATTTTGTCGTAAGGACTGCTGATATAGTAGTTTACTTTGTTGCTCAATTGATGAATGTAATCATGAACTGTTAATATGATTACTTCAAAACTTTTGTCGGAATAGAGAAACAAAGAAAATACATTGGAAAAATACAAGAGTACCCTGACTCCTCTTACCACTCTCATTACTACTACCCATTGTTAGTTGGACTTTGTAACTCAATCAATTAAATTAATGTCAAATTATAAATTGTCTTGCATATCTCCATGGTATTTATATATTAATTTTTGTAAAAATTTGTTTCAATTTTTTTTTTTGTAAGATAAATGTAGGTAATAAGGTAATATACACTTAATTTAAATTTTTCTTTTCATTTTTTTATTTTTTTTGGGGTTTTTGCCTCATTTGTTTTTAAAAAAAATCCACCGGACCAGTTAGTTCGGTCAACCCCCCGGTTAGTCCGGTTCCGGTTCTAACCGCTCCCAGCCCACTGTTCTGTTAACTGTTTTGGTTAGATTTTGCGAACACTGGTCTCTTGTGATCCTGATCTTTTCTATTTGATCTCTGATTGTGGTTGTCTTATTAGACATATCCTTTCGTTCTTTTTCTGTCAGTGAAGAATTTGCCCAATCCATCGATCCAATTCTAATAGGTCATTCATAAATTCTGAATCTCGGGGTCCACACTCTGTGTTGGCCCACTGTTTGGAAGCAGTCCTCCACCATAACTAGAGGATTAAGTTCTAGACGGAAGAGGAGAGGGAACTTCAATTTTAGGGGGGTTTGACCCAGCCAAAAGTGTGACCAAAACTGTACCCGGTTGCCCGCACTAGGGTGGAAGTGAATGCAAGTGGTGAACTGGGGCAGGTAATGGAGAAGTGAACTCCACACCCCGGAGGCCCAAAGCAATTGGAGACCATGCGATCATTGGTTAGCTAGTCATTTGGCTGCCAGAGATATTTGGCATGGACGACCTCCTTCTAAAGGTGATTTTCTTGTGTAGTGGACCTCCACCACCATTTACTGAGGAGGGCTCGGTTGTTGGCTCTGAGATTGCATATCCCTAGGCCTCCTTGGGCTCTCGGAGAGCACACTCTGGCCCAATATAACAAATGGTATTTCTTGCCCCCTTCGCCTGACCACAAAAAGTTCCTCATGAGTTGCTCCAGCCAGGTGGAAACCATGGCTGGCATTAGGAAAAGCGACATTTGGAAGATGGGGATGCTTGAATGTGTGGGCTTGATGAGGGTGAGACACCCCCCGGGGAAAGGTATCTCCCATTCCAGCCGGCAATCCGACGCCGGACTCTATCCTCTATGTGTCTCCATTGATAGGACTTAGGTTTGCCAATGCAAAGTGGGAGGCCAAGGTAGGTGGAAGGTAACTGTTTGGTGGTGCAGTCCAATATATCCGTGAGGGATGCTAGGGAATCCAGCTGAACATGGACCCCCATCATCTTGGATTAGGCCATATTGACCCTAAAACCGGTTCCCTGCTCAAAGCATATGAGAAAGAGCCTGAGGTTTTTTCGATTTGGAAGGGGCTGGCATTGTTAAAAAAAAAAAAAAATTTCTCTCCAAAAAAAAAAGATGAGGGTGTCATCCTTGTATTGAAGGTGGGATATTTTAGGTCCATGTCTCCCAACGTTGAAATCGGTAAGTAGGCCGTTGAGATACAAGCACGAAATAGACTTGCTAAAAACCTCGGCAGCGATGGCGAAGAGGAAGGGGGACAGTGGGTCGCTTTGCCTAAGGCCCTAATAAGAGCGGAGGAAACCGTTGGGTATTATTGGCCTTCTATGATATCAAATTCCATAGGATGATGCAAAAAGATGTCACAGATGTCAAATACATGGTGTCGTCATTCTCTAAGCACGGGAGCCCCTTCCCCTGCGGTAACTTTATGGCCTTGAACAGAGTGGGTTATGGATGTTGTAGATTCTATCGAACCTGTTTCAGTAGGAGGCCATTATTACATTCTGGCTGCCTCATATTACTTTCCCAAGGGAGCTGAAGCTATCCCATTGAAGCAAGTAATAGGGAAGATAGCAATTGATTTTGTGCGACACCACTTTATTTATGGGGTTCGTTTCCCGGACAGAATAATTGCAGACAATGACTCGCTCTTCAAGAATCAAGTTATATACCGCCTAGTGGCCAAATGCCAAATAGATTGGAAATATTCTTCTATTTATAATACAAGACCTAACGGATTGGCCAAAACCTTCAATAAGATCTTGTGCAAATGCAGTGCCTAAAAATCGTAAGGATTGGCATGAGAAGTTCCCGAAGCCTCAGGGGCCTATAACACAAAGGTTAGGACCTCGACTAAGTTCACTCCATATTTCCTTGTATACAATGGTGAAGCAGTACTTCCTTTGGAAGTAGAACTTTCCTCTCTTGTGGTTCATAATGGCTTTTGTAAAGAAGATCCTGGTTGTATTAGGCCATAGGAATTGTCAGCAGTCGATGAGAGGCGCCTTCAAGCTCAGGGAAATTTAGAAGCACATGAAATTCACATGAACCATGTCTTTGATAAAATGGTTAAGTCTGGGCATTCAAGCTAGGTGACTTGGTCTTACTTGTACACTGCCCCATTGTAGTGGCAGGGATACTCGCTGCAAGTTCGAGGTTCGACCCAAATGTGATAAAATTGGTCTATTCAAGCGGTGCTTACCCTCTCGCGAACCAAGATGGAAAAGATGCTATGCCTCCTATCAATGGTCACTTTCTCAGAAGATACTATCCATGATCCTCATGACTACGAGGTGCTTAGTCCTTATCGCATGATGTTAAACTGCACAATACCTCCTCTTCTTCCATACAAAACATTGGCAATAATGGAAGATAGGTGTCAATACATGCTAGTTTTCTTTTGAGCTAATAATAGTATGGTCAATTTAGTTTGTGCTTGTCCAAAGGAGATATCTCGTCATATGAAGAAGCATATCTGAAGTGTTATGTGAGGCTCTAGTCATAAATGTGACTATACCAAATCCTATGGGAATCCTTACCCAGAATGGAGTGTTTTAGTAAATGATTTATGCTGAGTCACTCCTAAGAAGTTCAATTGCATGATGCCCATTAAGTTACTCCAGTGGTTCATAAAAATATGAGAACTTTGGTTATACTTGCATTTTGTGGGGCTGAATCGTCATGAGATCACTTTGAAGCGTATTGCGAGTTCATATTAAGAATTGAATTCAAGCTTCAACCTAACCCTTCTCTAGCATTTTTCGACCTCTTCCTTGGCTATTTTCCCCTATATATTTCGTCTCCATTCCTTTCCATATTTCTTGTCTCTTCATATTTCCCAATTTCATCGACTGTCTCTACCTTCATTCCATCCTCGTCTCCTCTCACTCCTCCCTTCTCCAAATATCCAGCCTCTTGTCCATCTTCATTTTGAAATTTGTCAATTTCCTTCTTCTATGATAAGCTTGAATAACAGAGAGGAAACTAATTTTAAGATTTTTTTCTTCCAATTTCCAAAGAATTTTACAAATCAACTATGAAATTAATCATTGAAGGTCAAGTGAATTGAAGATGGACATTCAAAACAGACAACCGGAGAATGTCTTCTGTCATTGCACCTTTTGAAAGGGACCTTTGGTGATTGTTAGTCCAGGCCTTTCCCACACAACGTTTTAGAAGTATTATTTCAAAATATTAGACAGTAGTGGAATTTTCAAGATCGGAACCCAATGTTAATCTTGTCCTAGAGACAGGAGCTAACATTAAGCCATGGCGCTAGTGTGTATGCAAGAGAGAGAGAGAGAGAGAGAGAGAGAGGAGTGCGGGAAATAAAGGGTGCGTTTATATAAGGTAGAGACCATACTTGTAGAAGTAAGGTTTTAACACTATCCATTTTAGTTGGATGGTATAGATTTGACGTTCTACCTATCCATTCAAATTTTGAAATTGTCTTTATAGACATACCTAATCTACACCGTCAAACTAAATCGACGATGTACCACACCGAAACCCTACTTATACAGGTAGGGTACTGCCTTATATAAAGTTTTTTCCTTAAATAAAAAATTATTTTTTCTAGGCAGCTGAACAATTTGAAACCAATAGTTGCCGAGTTGACCAATATAGATTAATGTGCCATTTGTATTTTTGGTTTCCAAAAATTATAACGTCTCCTATCGAATTCTTTTCCTTTTATCGAAATGACAGTGAATAAACAGTTGAACGATAAGGAGCGGGTAGCAGCTGCCTTGGAAAATCCCAACCTCGTGGAGATGGTTGACGAATGCCTTGCTCCTACATATGAATGAGATGAATGTTGGGTCCTTGGTTGAAGACTAAGAATTGAGATATTGGCCTTGGAAGTTATAAAAATGAACCCAGAAACAGGTAATGAAGGGAAATTGCAATATTGTGTGAGTTAATAACAAATATGTTAGATTAGAACTAGGAAAGTAGAAATCTCTCCAGGATATCTGCTAAGGCGTTGAAAGAGTGATGTTTTTCTCTTTCTTTTTTGGGATAACTGATTATTTCAGTGTAAGCATTTGTTTATTTGTGTTAAATTAGTGTGTGCAAGATAGTGTTCACAAAATCGAATCGGAACGGTTAATCGGACATGGGGATGGGAGTGGTTAGAATCAGAACCGGACTAACTGGGGCGGTTAACCGAACCAACTGGTCAAGTAGGTTTTTTTTTTTAAATGGGTCAAAAACTCAAAAAAATGTATATAGAAAAACTTAGATTAAGTGTATACTATCATATTACATACTTAGTTTTATAAACCATGTTATTTACCATAGTGTGTCCAATATTTTCTATCATAAATAAAAATCTTATAATTTTTAGGATACAAGATATACTCTTCCTTCCTGTACCATATGGTAAGTAGATGAGGATGTGTTAGACCAGAGGATCTTCATAAAAACTACATCATGCATTTAATAAAAATAACTAAAAAGATCGAGCAAAAAAAAATCAAGCTAAAGATTGAGCAACATTATCATGCACTATATCATACGTTTATTTTATTTTTTTTGTTAGAAAAATATATACCATTAAAAAAAGGAAGAAAAACAAAATTTTATTAAACAAACCTAAAATTGAGCCAAAATCATCATGAACACTAGAATTAACCCAAAATAAAAAGAAATTGAATTCGTATGATAAAAGATGCACAATTTTCCTCCATTATTACAAATACAACTATGCCGTAAACTTAATAAAAATAACTAAAAAGATCGAGCAAAGTTATTATGCACTACAGCATACACTTATTTTATTTTTTGTTAGAAAAAATATATGATTTTATGCCACCGTTGTATAGTAATATGATGCAACAACCTTAAAAAAACAATTTATGGCCATTTGTTTGATCCAAATTTTGAAATATACACTCTCTTCATTCTAATGAACAATCATAAAAAAAGAAAAAATATTGAAAACACAATCTAGAAAGTATTTTTTTAGCCCAATTAACATAGGCCGTTCATTTTGGTGAGATGTTTAGATCTAGGCTTTAGAAGGATTTTTTCATTTGCAATTTTTTTGGATGGCTTTATTATCATTAGATGAACAATGTTGAAAAAGGAAAAAATGATTTTGAGTTTATAAAGGTTAAGATCTTGAAATTCACAAAATGAATGGTATAGATTTATTTTTGGAGGGGACTCATTTTAACCATATCTAAGGTTCAATTACGATTCAAATGCCTCAAATTTCATGAAGATACATTCGGTATTGAGAATGTTCTTCAAAAAATGACGGAAATTTCAGTTCATGAAATTTTCATGACAAAAACGCAGCAAAAATATCCATATAAAAATATTTGCTCGATAATAAATAAACATACCTACTGTATTTGATAGATGAAGCCTTGATGATCAAAATACATAGCTCAGTTCGATAAAAAATGAGCAATAGATCGATCATAAATTTTTTTTTTTGATCAACCCACAATTTTTATGAAGATTCATGCCGTATTGAAGCTGCTATTGAAAAAATGGTAGAAATGTCAAAGCTTTGAAAATCCGCCACTTCAATATGTAAAATCTCATTCCTTTTCGATTTTTCATTATAGATTCAATGTTTTATAGATATTTTACGGTGTTATATATCAATAAAGCACCAAAAAGTACAAAAAATGGCAAAAAATCAAATCTAAAAAACTGTAAAAGGTGGATTCACGAGTTCCAGTACTATATAACAGTCATTTTTCAAATAATGTCCGTTGTTTTTAAAAGGTCCGTTATTTTTAAGAAACGCTCGTTTTAGCGTTAAACCGGTCTGGTCAGTAGAAACCGGCCGTTTTTTAATAAAAATCACCAGTTTGAGGTCTAACCAGCCGGTTTTGAGCCCCAAAGTTTTTTGAGGTGATGATTAGATTACTAGTACTACTAAATCGGACCTAACTGGACTCAAACCCTAGTGGTTGTGAGCTACCCGGCCGATTTTGCGAATGATGAATGGAAGTGAAAGTTATTGTACAGAGAAATTGTGTGTGCCCCTAATTACGACCAATGAGAGGTTATTGTTCCCCAACTGGGTCTAGACTCCATAGAGAAAGTGGTGCCTATTCCCCAACTTCATACCTTTGGTTTTCATAATCCCTCATTTTTAGAAAGGTAGATGGGTGGGTTGAACCAGTTATCCACTTATTTTATTAACTGAATAATGATTTTGACTATTTAAAAAAAAATTAAATTAAATTAAAAAAATTTAAATTTTGGTTAATTAAAGAGCTTAATTAAATTTTGGTTGATTAAAGAGCTTAATTTCAAAACAGTATTTTTATTACATTAAAACTCATAAAAATATTATTTTTCAGTGATTTGGTTCAAGTCCCGATAAGTGAAGGACCTAGTGGGTTAGGTCCAATATGGGCAAATTCACGTTGGGTTTAGATCGACTGCCCTACATGACCTGACAAATATACATATGGTCCATACAATTATATGTTAAATCTAATTTTTATATATAAACTGTGTTATTATATATTGAGCAAGATCGGACCCATCAGGTCGGGTCTAGGTCCAATTGAACTAGGCCACACTAGTGCATGCTTCGGATCCAGTTTTAATTTGGACCCAATTGGTTTAGGTTTGAGCCGGGGTGGGTCTGCCTGGACCGACCCCTTTACAATCGAAAGAGGTCCGCTGTAGCTCCCAGAGAAAGAAAGAAAGAAACAAAGGGATGTGTAATCAGCACACAGTGGGGGACTATATTTCCACAGGAGCATATTGTCCACTTGCTCCTTTAGGTGAAAAATTAATGGAAAACAGATTTTTTTTCTTAGATGAAATTTGATATTTACTTTAGAATCATCAGATGATTACTGGAAAAACAAAATAATAATTTGAATTTTTAGTTCTTTAACGCAGAGATTTGGCTATAAAAAAAATAGACGGTCTACATTCAATTGTAAAATATTATATTTTCAGCGAGATTTAATTTTTATTTTTCTCTTTCAAATTGGTTGCTAGGTTGATGGTGATTCATTCAAAAAATTTAAGAATCCAAGTACTCTTATATTGAGTTTTGCCCGATAGAGCAAAAGTGTACAGAAGCTCTCTCCAAAACAAAAATGTTTTTGTGAAAAAGAAAAAAGTGCTTGCTTTTTTTCCCTACGACCCAATTTGATAGAGAGAGAGAGAGAGATGAGGAATGTGGGTAGGGGTGGTAATGGACCCCGACCTGACCTAGGATTCGATGACCGTACCCAACCCTGGTCCAGGTATGGGTCCAAAAATTAGACTCGATGAGTCGGGTCCAAGTCCAAATATCGGACCTGAATACTATTCGGGTATGGGTTCATATATATCTAACCCAAGCCCAGACCCGGACTTGAATAGCGATAATTTTTAAATAATATATAATATATAATATTTTAGTAATTTTTTAAAAAATGTTAAAATAAATATAACTATATATAGTTAGGGAAATAATCTAATGCGATGGTCGTATAGTAGTATAATGCAACCACACCTCTAGAAAACCATATTTTTGGCATTTGTATGACCTCAAATTTTGCACACACATTTTATTCATCCTCATAATCAATCTTACAAAAAAAAGTTTAATTTGCACCTTAGATATGATCAAAATTAGTACCAACCAACAATGAATATCAACCATCCATTTGGTAAATTTCAAGATCTAAGCCTTAACAAATTGAAAAATCATTTTTTTCCTTTTTAGCATTATTATTCTAATGATGATAACGGTATATAAAAATTTTGGGAATAAAAAAATCCTTTTGAAGCCTATATCTAATCATCTCAATAAAATTGACGGCTTATATTAATTGAGCTAGAATGAAAACTTTCTAGAGCATTTTTTCAAATTTTTCTTTTTTGTGATTGCTCTTGAGAATAAAAAGAGTCTACATTTAAAAATTCATGTCAAACAAATGTCTCCGACATGTATTTTAAGACGGTTGCATTATACAACTATACAACCGTTGCATGAAATCATTCCCCTTTTAGTTATGATACTATATATTTTTAGTTAGGGTAGTGATTTCATTCAACGGTTGTATAGCAATATGATGCAACAACCTTTAAAAATTATGTTAGGGCCATTTGTTTGATCCAAATTTTAAAATATACATTATTTTCATTCTAATGAACAATCAAAACCTTGAAAGTATTTTTTTAGCCCAAATAATATAGGCCGTCCATTTTGATAAGATGCTTAGATCTAGGCCTTGGAAGGATTTTTGCCTTTCCAATTTTTTTAGATGACTTTATTATAATTAGATGAACAATATTAAAAAAATAAAAAAAACTTTTTGAGTTTGTAACGGCTAAGATCTTGAAATTCACCAAATGAATGGTCTAGTTTGTTGTTGGAGGGGATTCATTTCGATCATATCTAGGGTTCAAATTATATTCTTCTTTTTTGGGATTGATTACTGAGATGAAGAGAGTGTGTGTACAAAATTTTCTGTCATACGAATACCACAAACATGATTTTTTAGAAGTGTGGTTGCATTATACTATGATACAACGGTTGCATCAGAGCTTTGCCCATAGCTAGTAGGAATTTTTTTGGCCAAGTCATCTGCTACCATGTTGGCCTCATGAAAGATGTGGGATATGTTCTAAGAACAGGCCACAAGATAGTGGGTGCAATTTGATGAAGGAATGCGAAAAATCCAAGGGAGCTTATGGCGTCCAAGGACAGAGTTCACCAAAATCTGTGAATCGCTTTTGATAAGCAACGGAAGTATTGCATCTTAATAGCCAGTTGGATGCATCTTTCAAAAGCTGAAAATTCGGCATTACTGTTTGGTTGAAGGGAGCAACAAAGGCATCAAGGAAGCTCCCCATATCATTCCTAATGATCCTACCATTCTAGGATGGAAAAAGTTTACATAAGGTTGCAACCCTAAAATGTAGAACTATAGATGCACCTTAAAAATCCATAGGAAAAGGTTGTTTTAATGTTGAAAAACCCTACAATTGATCATCTTGACTTCGAGATGTATAAATATAAAAAAAGAAAAGAAAATATTTTGAATCCCAAAAATAGTGCATCTTGCAACACATTATCCAGACCGTTCATTTTCAAGATTTTCATATGTTAGATCTACTTAATTTTAACTATTTTGAAACTTTAAAATTTTATAATTAACGATGAAAATAGATTTTAAGACAATCCTAATAATTTTTTACACAAAAATTATATGTTATGATAAAATTTAGAGGTACACCTTAATTGGATTGTTTAAGGTTGTAACCTTATAGAAACCACACCCTTCTAGGATTGCCACGAGATGAACTGCGGTGGCCCTTCAGTTGAAGAGACCACCAGACCAATAAAGAGGTTTTTGGTTGTATGGGGCGCCATTGGATCTTGAGATTATTTACTATATGCCTCTCTGATGGGTGAAAAGTCCATCCTTTCACATTCGCAGACTTGCAATGAAGGACGAGATGCGATGCAACATTTCTTCTCTTGATTTCTTTCCTTCCAAGTTGCGTCGGTTCCATTCAGTACAGAGGAGCCAGACTATATAGGGAACACAAAAATGTACACATCTCAAAGGCCCACCGATCTGAACTGAAACTTGATCTACTTGGTGAACATTGCGATTGCAGACTGTTCGAGAAGTACACTTTTGCTGAATCTCTAATGGACAGACCTCCAAAGTTCTTGTAAAGAGAGCACTGCACAATAATAAGGTTAACAGACTCGTCCTCTAGGAGGCAGAGGGGAAAATTGTACTCCAGGGGCAAGCCCCGTGATTGGAGCAATCCTATGGTAGGCAATCTGGCATGAAGGGAAAGCCAGATAAACCATTTTGCTTTGGGGTGAGTTATTGTATACCATGGGGCACTGAAAGTTGGTTGCGTCGGGGCAGATTCATGGATTTGATTCCATACATTCAGAAATCGTTATCAACAATATGTATCCAGACAAATTCGTCTGCCATAGGACAAATGGGGAGCATGTGGGATTGTGCGCGAATGAGAGAGCCTGAAGTCAGGGGAGGTAAGGGCCATCTTTGGGGCGATCCTTCTAGGTAGTCCGACACTTTAGGCATGGCTAGGACACCTAGGTCTTGGTGGATGGTTATACCATATTTCTCTCATATCAAACTCTCTAGTAGCTATCGGTCAGCCCAAAAATCAATAAGCTTTCCATCTCCAACAATCCATTGTTAATCCCCAAAGTAATACCTCTCCAAGCATAAGAGCAAATTTTTGCCCAATTGAACTAGATAGAAGAATTGCTACAATATGTGTTTAAAAAACTAGGCTAAAAGAGAAGATGGGTTTGAAATGATTCTTCATACTATTCTCATCGTACCCTCCATATTACAATCATGGATATGTCGAAGTCCTAGACCCCTTTCTTCAATATCAGGCATAATGTGTTCCATCCGATAAGATGCATTCCCTTTTTTTTTTAAATCCTTGCCTGCAAAAAGTTACTTTGGAGTCTCTCGATAATATTGCAGGTGTAGCTAGGGGCGAGAAAAAAAGAAGCCAATAAATTGATGAGGTGCTAAGGACAGACTTCAAAAATTGTAACCGTCCCGCATAAAAAAGATAAATTTCTTGCCAAGAGTCTATTTTACTAAGAGTCTTCCCAATTAAACTATGACAATGTGAAGCCCGTGAAACATTAGGCCAGAAAACCTAACATAGAGTTTTGCGTTCTCAAATTGAAGAGAATGAAGCCCCTTTTTTCGGTATTGCATTTACCCCAAAGAAAATAACTTTGCTTTAGGTAGATTGAGTTTGTGACCCGTAATAGGGCAAAAATCATGGAAAATGAGAGAGCTGCTTGAACTGAGGCATTCCAGGGCATCGACGTCCGTGATTTATTCTAAGTGAAAAGATTGCTGCTCCCATGGGAGCATACTGTTCATTTGCTCTTCGGGAAAATCTAAAGCTAAAAGTTTTATTTTTAGGATCCTGTATTTTTGGGATGTAACCACTTGATCCTAGCCCCCAACCACCAAAAAATCACAAGTTCAAATTACACACAGAATTTGCTTGAAAAAAAAGTAATGCCCAAAGATTGAACATGGACTATCCAATTTTTAAAGGCAAGATCTGAGTGTTGAAGAACTTAAAATTTAATTTTCTTGTTCGAAAAGAATCATCTAATCTAGTTATTCTTAAGTGGAACCCAAAATTTCAAATAAAAAATATATTCTCGAGATGTCTTTTGCCGAGGGAGTTAATATACAGTAGATGCTCCTAGAGGAGCATGCCATTCACTATTTTATTAATTTTGTTAAAATCTAAATTTTGTTTTATCCACTCTTTTCCCTTAATTTTTTTTAAACAAAATTTTTCGTTATTTACTTGGAAAAAGACGCAAACTCGGGTCAAAAATAGCAATTCCCAAATGAAAATAACTTTTCTACACCAGTTTCGACTTTCGTGTGTCAACCCACTGCGACGAAATCCAACTACCCCTAAACCCTGTACAAACCCTAAAATCGCAACGCCCATTTTCTCTGCAAATTCATTTGACTGCTTAAGTCTAACCAAAACAGTAACACATTCTCCTTGCATGGTTCCCGTTTTCATTGTACTTCAAAACTGGGGATTCATTCGAAGTAGGGTTATCAATTTTGGAAGGCATTTTCAGAGAAGATGCATAGTTCGGGGGTTTTTGGCGATGGTTTAATGGTTTTTCCAGTCACTGGAAGCTGCCGTTTCTCTGAGTTCAGGCAATTTCCATTTTGTGGAGAGCCGAGATTCTGCTTTTCCGGTGGTTTTCTCAAGGTATTTCGTCATTTTACCTTTTTTGCTTTATTTAATTTTTCAGGCATTTACCTAATAGAGGAATAGGTGGATTGGGATTCGGGGAATAGACGGTATGGAAATGACCAATTTAAATTGTTTTTGGAAATTTCAGTATTGGTTTCCTTTAGATTCATTGATGAAGATGAAATTATGAATGTGGACTGAAATATGGTATTCCAATCCATTGGAAGAATTAGGTTATGGATAAGAAGTTGTGGTCCAATAATTTTATCAGACTTTGAGTAATTGAATTCTAGTAGTATCTTGCCCCTTTATAGTACTTCTTTAAAAAATTTGATATATGAAAATTGAAAGTGAAGCTCGAGAATATCACTGGAGAGTTGTCGTTGATCCTCGATTCTCGAGCTCTTCAGTCTAGCGTATAATACCTCACGAAGATCAATAGAGTACTTATTGACATATGGCAGTTACTATCTCAACATAGAAGTAGGAGGAACTTTACTGCACTCTGGAGCTGGAGTGCAAGATAACAACTCCAGATGAGAGTGCAATGTGGATCAGTTACCATAGGACCTGTTGGATCAAATGAAACAACCCCATAGCCCAAAGAGAGTGATATGCCCTACACTTGCCAAATGAAGTAACACAGCACACTCGCCTACTGCTTTCGTCATCCTTCTGCATCCCCTCGTCGATTCATTTGCATCTACCACGGTTAAATAAACCTTTTCCTCAATGGAACCTATGAGACCTATTTTCTTGCTTCTTTTAATGACCCCGCTCAACTTCCGTGTTCCCGAAAAACAATAGTAATTCATGCCAAACACAAGCAATAATTAGAAGAAACCCTAGGTTTCTTCCCTAACCCACCTACAGTTTCAAAAGCACAATGAATTTCACAGGGAAGAAAATAAAAAAAGGAGACGGTTTCTATGCGGCCAGCCCGCATATTGTAGAAATGAGGGCTTGGCAATAAATATTGTTTTTTAAATATAATTTGATCCTAATTTTTAGAGAATATATAATATTTAATATAGAGATCATGAATATGAAAAAAATTGAAAACTAGAAATAATATTTATATAAGAAAACATTTGGACCGTTAGTGACAATTATTTTTAGATGGACCACCTAGTTGCATCTATCTTTATACCTCTGGACTGCATATTGTAGAAATGCGGTCCAGCCCACACGAAACAATTTTCCATAAAAAAAACTATTGATTGGAAAATTAAAGGGGAGGCATATAAGCCAAGCTTCAATGGCTCTTCATTGGTTAAAATAGAAATAAGATATCAAAACTCGACTATCTATTGTAAATTCTCTACATAGACCCTTATTTACAATAAGTACCTTACTTAAATCCCAAGAAATCATATTTCTTATTGGAATAAAAGTTCTTAATTGAAATAAAGCTTGTAATAATATATTTACTCCTGATAAAACAAAATATTCCATAAGCACTCTTACTAATTTTCTAAACATCTTCTAAAATTTTTAAAATATAGAAAACCTTAGAATCCCAAAAAACTATAAAACCCTAAAAAATAAGCTTAGAGAATTCTAAATATACATTCCTAAAATTTAATAAAAATATAAAACCCTAAAAATAAGCCTAGAGAATTCTAAATATACATTCCTAAAATTTAATAAGAAATATTTAAAAGTAAGAGGCATCTTGTCGTGCATCAATCTCCCCTGGTTGGAGAAAACCTGTCATCAAGTTTTAAAGTGTGCTAAGATGAACTCAAAACTACATTTTTCAACCTTCTTCTTCTTTGTTGGCTCAAAGATTCTTTATTGTAAGAAGTTCTCAAGAAGTTGATATTTTTTTGAGTCTGATAACATTGTATTGAAGGAAAAGAGGACATACAAAGGTACAAAAACACCCTTAGGGCAAAGTTACGGAGAAAAGTGACAAAAAGAAAAGTGAAAAAAATAAAACAACCTTGAGGCAAGCGGAACAGTAAAAGCGAAAACAATTCAAAAAGCAGATAGGAGCACACAAAAATGGAAGATACTACTAAAAGAAAACTAAAACATTTTTAAACGAAAACCACATGAGGTAGCACCATCTAGAAAAGCCGTCATGGCACATAAGCTCCTTGTCAAGCTAGTTGGTCGACTATCTGGTTGGCCTCTTGCCAAGCATGAGTCCACGAGACTTGCATGTGCTAGCACAGATCATGAATTGCATCAAAGAAGTGTCATAGTCTCCATGGGGGTTGAGAGAGGGCATGGGGTTCAGCCTCAGTGGAATCTGTCGTGCCAATGGAGGAGGAGGAGAAGGAAAGAAGGGAGATTCTGTTGTGGTTGCGGAAGATTCCATCTATTCCTGCCGAGCTAGGATTGCCCAGGGAAGACTCGTTGAAATTTAGTTTTATTGTATCCCTGTCAAGAGGTCTCCATAAGGTTGACCGAGAAACTTTCCTAGGCCTAAAGGAGAGGACATTTCCCCAGTTTAGGTGAAAGTCGTGGGTTGGCAGACCTTTGAAGTGTTTATGGTTTGTGGCCTAGAATGTTACCATACCCCTGATTATGTCCTTGATCTTGTGTAGGGGTGCGTAAAAGCTTTGGAATGCCCTATTGTTGTGCTCCTTCCAAACTGTCCAAAGGGTCGTGGTAACAGTAGCTTTCAAAAGTAAAGCTTTGGATTTAGGTCAAGGGAGAAAAGCAGAAAGCTTAGAGAGACTAGGAACAGACTCAGGGGTTACCCATGCCCAATCAAATAGATGAAGGGTGGCGCTCCAAAGGTTTTTGGCTAGCGGGCAATGAATAAAGAGATGGTTGATGGTCTCCTTTGCAGAGAGGCACATCATGCATCTGTTGGGGGTCTGGAAGCCATGTCTTTGTAATTGATCTATGGTAAGAACGCTACCCCACAAGGCGAGCCAATTAAAGAACTGGATTCTAGGAGGGATGAAGGGGTTCCAAGCCCTGAGAACCTAGGGGTTGCAGATTGAGGTTGTTGTGGGTCCCAACTGGGGTTGGTTAAGGATACAGAAAAATGAGGACAACGAGAAGGCTTTGGAAGGATCTGGGGACTAGATAATTCTGTCCTCTTCGTGGGACCTCAGGGACAGAAGAAAGGAGAGAGGAGAGGTCTAGAAATTCCAATAGTTCATCAGCATGCAAAGGTCGATGAAGATCAGGGTTCCAAGTTCTTGTGGTGCCTTAAGCAGGGGGGAGTCCCTCAATCGTGGCCCGGGGATTTCTGGCAAGTCGGAAGAGGGTCGGGCATTGAGTGGAAAGCGAGGAATCTCCCACCCAAAGGTCTAGCCAGAAACACACTTTACTGCCATTCTTGAGAAGAAATCTAATGTGGGCTATGAAAAGATGGAGTGAGTGGGAAATAAATCTCCAAAACCCAGAAACATTATGGATTTGAGCTTCTGGAATGGACCATGGTGATGCTGAGAGGCGGTACTTGGATTGGAGGATGAGATGCCAAAGATTTCTTGTCTAGGTGGCTAGCCTCCACCACCATTCGCAGAGAAGGGCAAGATTTTGGGATTTTAGGGCCCGAATCCCTAGTCCCCCTTCTGTTTTGGACAGGCAGACTGTGTTCCAGAACAGGAGGTGGATTTTCTTGGAAGTCCCATCTTTGGACCACATGAAATTGCTCATCAATTGTTCTAGGCGAGATTGCACCGATGCAGGAATGTGAAAAAGTGACATCTGGAATATTGGCTCTCTAGATAAAACCACTTTAATGAGAGTCGATCGGCCCACTGGTGAGAGGAATCTCCCTTTTCAAGAGGCCAACTTCCTTTCCACCCTATCAATGATATGACTCCATTGTGCCTTTTTGGGTTTGTTGTAGCAAAGAGGCAATCCGAGGTAGGTCGTCGGGAGGGTGTCGATGCCACAACCCTAACTTGCAGCAAACGGTGAAGGATCGACTAGGATTCCAATCATCGTGGTCTTTTGGAGGTTGACCTTGAAACCAATTGCGAAGTGGAAGCATTGAAGGAAAAGGAGCAAAGTGTTGACCTGGGTAGCTTTTGGTTCGTGGAAAAGCAGGGTGTCGTCGGCATATTGGAGATGTGAAACTGTGGAACCCTGAGCCCCTAACTAGAAACCATTTTCCAGCCCATCTTGATACAGTCTGGTTGTTGTTCTGCTAAAGACTTCAGCAACAATCGCAAAGAGCAAGGGGGAGAGGGGGTCTCCTTGTCTTAAACCTCTACAGGACTTGAAAAAACCTTTGGGGGAGCCGTTGATAAGGATAGAGAAGAAAGGACTGTGGATACATCCCTAGATCCATTTCCTCCACCTAGAGCCGAAACCCATGCTTCTTTTGGTTTCCTCAAGTGCGTCCCAGTTGACGTGCTTGATATGCATGTTGAGGAATAGATACAGATTTTATCAAATTTGGCGATACTTGAACTCTCATTAAAATTGTGTACTCAATTTGCTGATCTCAAGAGGGTTTCTTGACATCTTTTTCATTATTCTCTGACATCTATTTCATTACTCGAAACCCTCAGAGTATGTCCCCCATGTCTAGGTCTTCTATCACTTTCCTCTTCAATCGACTCATCACTTGTAGCACGTCATTGACAAGGGTTGTACTCGACATCTTCTCGAACAAAAAGCTTACCGTCTTGCCCATGAGAATACCTGTGAGCTGCGGTGTACTGTTAAACCTACCTCCTAAGGCTTTCAATCAGTGTTTTAAAATGCTGGATGCGGCCCTGATGCGGTGGGGGGCCGATGCGGCTCAATGCGGTCTGGATGCAGGTGCATTGCGATGATGTGGTCAATAAATGTAAAAAAATTCTAAAAAATCTAAAAAAATAAGTTAATGCATAGAAAAATATATGAAGGTGATATATGTAATAGTAGGTATTTTAGTTTAATGATTAACTTCAAAATTATTAGCTGTCGGAGATTCTGTATCCAGTTATCCACTATCCCCTGATAGAAACTAGAAACTTGAAACCAGCTTCATAAAGCATTCAACAATCAACAGCCATAAGCACAACCATAAGCACAACCATCAACAACCATAAGTA